GAAAACAGCCGCGCTGCCACCGCCTTTTTTATATATTTGCGGAAAACCTTACGGAGGGGTGTCCAAACACCCCCCCCCCCAGCTCCCGGCCCCGTGCTGGCGACCATAACATTTGACTTAACCCTCGCTGTGTGCGGTGTTTTACAGCGTCTAACGTGTACGTCGGTTGGACCCCCTCCCCCCTGCCGTTCGACCCCTGATCGAGCTAGAGCTTCGCGGGAAAAAACAAGCGTGTTGCCCGTGACGAGAGGAAGCCGATGATACCCAATTTTAAGGTCATAGGTCATTGGTTGACCTTCCAGGCCAGGTCAATGACCCAAAAGTCGGGAAAATCGGACCTGCTAGAACTTCGTAAAGTGAAGCTTTTATGCTTTTGGGGGGGGGGGGGGCGCTGATAACAAATTTCATGTTGGTTTTGATCAAAGATGACGTCTTCATGCATTTGGGCCTGGTCGGGTCAGGTCAGGTCAGGTCAACCAGTAGGCGTCCTACCGCCTATCCAGTGTCAACCACCACTGAAAGCCTCGTAACATGTTACTAAGGCACTAAAACTACTTCGTAAATGTTCAAACGGTCATTAAATTCGAAATCAGCTTCAAAAACTAGCCTGGAAACACGTGCAATGTGCAGTGGAGTGCAAAGAGTACAGTGGCGCCCCCACCAGCGGTGGCGGCCCCGGTAGCGGTTGCGCTTTAGAATTTTTCGCTTCCGCAACTCGCAACTCCGCAACTTTTTTGGGCTCGGTAGCCGATCCGTAACTCCGCTACCAAGAGGGTAGTCCGCAAGTTGCGGAGTTGCGGAGTTGCGGACTTAAGTTGCGCAATGCCCAGCTCTGTCGATTAGCAAGAAACAGGTGGTGGGCACGGTTTAAAAGACAGGATAGACTGGAATAAGTTGAAACAATACTGCTTGATATCAATTCGGTCAATTTCTGTCTACAAATAGCCAAGCCACTGTTGACCGTCCCCGTTTCACCTCTGGCGGCTCAGTTTCCTCAGCTCCTCCTCGAGCTGGGTGAGCAGGAGTCCACGGCAGGCGCGTCTCCGGTCCGACGGCAGCGACTGCAGGGCGACCAGCACGTCGGCGGCCGGCCATCGGCGGCAGCAGCGCTGGGCCAGCTCGGCGGCCGGCGCGCTGGCCATGGCCGGCCGCGCGGCCAGCCGCAGGCGGAGAGCCGCCGGCCGCCGGAACAGGTACGGCAGCGGCGGCGACACCGGCGGCGGCGGCGGCGGGCTCGGCCGGGCCGCTGCGCCCCGCGGGACGGGCGGCGCCAGACGCGGCAGGCGGAGCTCACCGGTACGCGCTGTGGCACCGACCACCGGACACAGCGCTGTGCAAAAGCTTCATCGATTCGCGGGGCATGCGGCTGGCACCGACGGTACAAACCAACTACAACATGCTACAACCACATAGCACGCGATAAATCAAGGAGGATAAAAGAGGAGGAGCTACAAAAGAGTATTTCAATCAAAAGGTCAAGACACGAATAATGCATCAGAGCTTAGTTGAATATGAATTATAAGTGGAAAACAATGGGAACGTTTTTGGTTATATTACTTTAACACGCGCAGTGGAAGGGTTGCGCCCAGTGGAAGGGGGGGCGGATGTCGCCCCCCCTAAGATCTCAGCTCCCACTGGACCTAGAAAAACGAAATTTGGAGGGTAGGTGGGGGCCATGGGGAACTCTGTTGTGTGTGAATTTCATGACCCTAGGTCAATATCTTCAAGGTCAAATGAGGTCAAATGTGGTCAAATCTGCCATATTAGCGACTTTTTTTGCGTTTACACGCCGATAACTCAAAAAGTTACCGGCCGATTTTTTAAAATATTTCACTATACGAAAGAACAAACATTTGTGAGTATTTATGGAGAATTTCTAGATAATCCAACAATAAATATGGCAGTTAGAAGCCTGCTAAGGGTAAGATGTCGCCGGCTGAAGCGGCATCGGCCGACGCGGGAAACGCGGCAATCACAATTTTGTGTTTACACACTCATAACTCAAGTTGTTACCGGCCGATTTTCAAAATTCTTTAATCATATGATTGCCTGTACATTTCTCAGTCTTCTCACCGAATTTGACGCGAATCTAATATAATCAGCGGTAAGGAGCGCGATGTAAAGACGGAACCGTCCCGCCCCGGCACAGTCTACAATTCAGGCGGCGCGTAATGGCTAGCGCCAGCCGCCGCGCCGCGGCGCCGCCGCGGCGGCAGGATGTTTGACTTTACACCGCTATTACTAGAAAAGTTGTGAACCGATTTTCTTACTTCTTGCACGAGAAGATCCGCAATTCAATTCTGGACAGGTAGCCGAAATTTCACATTGATATTATGCTTGCGGCGCGAGTTATTGGCGAAAAACAGGAGGGGTGGGCGAAATCCGCCCCCCCCCCCTTCCACTGCGCGTGTTAAGTTGGCTACACATGTGTTTCGATATAAATCTTTTTCAAGCCATAAAGACAAAATAAAATGTAAATAATTCGCCTAAACATCAAAGTTGTCAAAATAGTTTGCGGCACAGATTAAAATTCAAATAGCAATGCTTCACACCCGTCGCTTCTCACTTTGCACTTCTAGTTTTTAGATCGTGCAAAATAAGTTCAGCCGTAAATCTGCTCAGTTTCACTTTTCCTGCATTACCATTTAGATTGTCAAAGATGTGAATATAAGCTGCTTCTACAGCCTGCCTATGCTTCTTTGTCAAACCCCTACACAACACAGACATATCATCCCAGTTGGGGAGATGTCCCGCCTCATCTACGTGTTGCACAAGGGCGTTGGACAGGCGGTGGTACCTAAGGTCACTCTTATGCTCCTTTTGCCTGGTTCTAATGCCCCTGTATGTTTCACCGACGTAACATTTATCACATGCACCACAAGGAATTTTGTAAACGACACTATCCTCATTAGTAGAACCTTTCTTCTTCGTTTGCACAAGGTTTTTAATGGTCAGGCCCGCTGGGGATGAAATATTGATAGTTTCCCTTACAAAATTGTCCACAGCTTCTACTTCTTTTGATGCTGGGACTGAGAGATACCTCCTCTTGCTATTCCTTGTGGCGTTTGAAGCTCTAGCTCGTATTTTGACGGCCCTCTTCTCTAGCTGACATAAAAGACCTGGCGGGTACTTGAGTCCAATAAATACTTCTTTAATGTAGTTCAGCTCGTCCCTGATAAATTCTTCTGAGCAAATGCGAAGTGCTCGAAGATAAAATCCCAGCACGACTCCAGTTTTTGTTCGACTGCTGTGCGCCGAGTAGAAGTGTATCAGGTCATTCTTGTCGGTGGGCTTCCGGTACACTGAAAATACAGCCTTGTTGCCCTGATTATGGATGCACGCGTCCAGAAATGCGATAGTGCCATCTTCCTCCTCTTCGGAGGTAAATTGTATCTTCTGATGCACACTGTTCAGCTGCTGCAAAATACAATTTAAATCGACATCTTTGTTGATGATGACCAGAATGTCATCGACATACCGGAGCCAGGTCGTATCGGTACCAGCAATGCTCAAGAAGTGGTCCGCTTGACTGAAGCAGATTGATGGCCTGGCGATGGGTTCGCCGTTGAGCCCGGTACTCGCCTGCCTTTTCATGGAGACATTAGAAGCGGACCACTTCTTGAGCATTGCTGGTACCGATACGACCTGGCTCCGGTATGTCGATGACATTCTGGTCATCATCAACAAAGATGTCGATTTAAATTGTATTTTGCAGCAGCTGAACAGTGTGCATCAGAAGATACAATTTACCTCCGAAGAGGAGGAAGATGGCACTATTGCATTTCTGGACGCGTGCATCCATAATCAGGGCAACAAGGCTGTATTTTCAGTGTACCGGAAGCCCACCAACAAGAATGACCTGATACACTTCTACTCGGCGCACAGCAGTCGAACAAAAACTGGAGTCGTGCTGGGATTTTATCTTCGAGCACTTCGCATTTGCTCAGAAGAATTTATCAGGGACGAGCTGAACCACATTAAAGAAGTATTTATTGGACTCAAGTACCCGCCAGGTCTTTTATGTCAGCTAGAGAAGAGGGCCGTCAAAATACGAGCTAGAGCTTCAAACGCCACAAGGAATAGCAAGAGGAGGTATCTCTCAGTCCCAGCATCAAAAGAAGTAGAAGCTGTGGACAATTTTGTAAGGGAAACTATCAATATTTCATCCCCAGCGGGCCTGACCATTAAAAACCTTGTGCAAACGAAGAAGAAAGGTTCTACTAATGAGGATAGTGTCGTTTACAAAATTCCTTGTGGTGCATGTGATAAATGTTACGTCGGTGAAACATACAGGGGCATTAAAACCAGGCAAAAGGAGCATAAGAGTGACCTTAGGTACCACCGTCTGTCCAACGCCCTTGTGCAACACGTAGATGAGGCGGGACATCTCCCCAACTGGGATGATATGTCTGTGTTGTGTAGGGGTTTGACAAAGAAGCATAGGCAGGCTGTAGAAGCAGCTTATATTCACATCTTTGACAATCTAAATGGTAATGCAGGAAAAGTGAAACTGAGCAGATTTACGGCTGAACTTATTTTGCACGATCTAAAAACTAGAAGTGCAAAGTGAGAAGCGACGGGTGTGAAGCATTGCTATTTGAATTTTAATCTGTGCCGCAAACTATTTTGACAACTTTGATGTTTAGGCGAATTATTTACATTTTATTTTGTCTTTATGGCTTGAAAAAGATTTATATCGAAACACATGTGTAGCCAACTTAAAGTAATATAACCAAAAACGTTCCCATTGTTTTCCACTTATAATTCAATTTGTCTATCTATATCAATTAGTTGAATATGGTCAAAGAAAGGCTGCGTCTCAAACAACACAAAGCCAAAGACCATCAATCATCCGCTTGATGACAGAATAGCATAAGGGCACGACTACACACCGATGCGACCATGCGAGTGCACCACACGCAGAGATGTGAGAAAAGCCAAGACCCTTTAAAGGGGAAAGTGAGGTGAGACAGAGCATCCAGGGGTGACCGTCTACTCACGGCGTCCGCCGGGGGTCGGAGACAGGCTGGTGCTGCTCGGACTGTCACCGTGGTAGCTGTAGCGGTGACCGGGCGGCTGGGGCGCGGAGCTGGTCGACTTCCCCTGCAGCGGGCTGACGACACAGAGACGACGTGAGACGGATCGCTCACGTACGGTATTTTTCGGCATTTTTTTCCCGTGATTACTCGTATAACGCGTACGCGCGTTGCGTTGGCTATACTGAGCTGAAAGTTGACATGTTTTACGTTTTGATTAAGGTCGGATCTGGTGACACCAACCACATTTTCAGGTCATGTCAGGTCACTGACCTATAACGTCATAAGTGAACCTCTGCGTGGTCCTAAAATAGCACAACCTCGTAACGTTCTCTGTGCCAGGGAATCTTTTGCAGAGGTCAAACTTACGAGACGTAAAAGGTAACTTCCCTAAGTAGGTTAAGTTGTATGCATCGGGTTTTTCCTAAAAACCTTCGGTCGGTCATGTGACCTCACCGTTTCAAGAAAATGGGAACATATATCGTCAATCAGCAGCCTACGTTGACCTTTTCCAAAGGAAAAATATATCATTCAACGTTCCTGAATCCTGAGCATGACGAACACGATGGTGCCAAAAATTGCGGCTGTGACCATTTGTGGCAGAGTTATTCACTACAAATCAAACCCGTTTCAAGGAACATTTGACCTGGCCTCAGGTCACCGGTTGACCTGAGATGATTGATAGGTTTCGCTGTGTCTTGCAACGACACAAACGCTGTTTTTTCCTCAAAGCCCTAACTCAATTAGGGGCGAAACGGTCAGCGTTCAACCAAACCGATAAATCTGGCGAGGTTTAACCCGGCAGGCGGTGGGCCTACCAGCCACCTTCCACGCGGTGGGGGGGGGGGGGGCACTTTTTTGCCCCCCCCCGTATCTCCGAAACTACTGGACGGATCCCGAAAATTCAAACGGCGTTCGATAGCCCTGTCAAATTTGTCGAGGGAAACCAAATTTCATTGACCTCGGGGTCACCGATGACGTCACAGGTCAGGTCAAAGATAAAATGTTTCACCGTTCACGGGGCTTCTAGGGAAAGCGCTATAACACCGAGCAAAGCGCATTTTGTCGAAAATCAGCGATAAGGCGTCAGTTGTATAGTACATATGTTGCTATTAGAGGTCACTGGTCATACCAGGTCAGGTCACAGGTCAGGTCACCAAAGGTCACCAAGGGTCACCACATGAGCCCAACTTTACTAAGGTTATGCGATGCATGTTTTATGGCCAGTTTTTCATTTCCAACTCAATGGTGTTGGTTATAAGACCATCAGGTACGGTTTAGGTCACTTTCTGGTGGAGGTCAGGTCAAGGTCAGGTCAAAAAAGGTCAAATTTCAAAGTTGATATTTTTGCATAAAATGGGTATCAATTCGATGCAGCTCGTCACGGGGAGTGTAATGGTGGTCTTTGTTTTGCGCTACGAGGTCTAGAATTGCTAAAAATTGAGTTTGAAAATTTGACGTCATCAATTTTGAACAGTTTTTTCGCTATAACTTAGCCAAAAAAAGAGGTATCGATCTCAAATTTGGTATGTAGATAGAAGGCGGTAGGGGCTATCACATATATTCCGTTTTTTCGAAATTCAAAAAACTTTTTGGATTTTTTGGCTATTATATTCAAAAATCTATTTTTTGATTTTTGGGGGTCAAAATCCAAAAAAATTGAAAAACCGAAATAGCAGTTTTGTAGCCCTTTTAATTCCACACCTTTTATGTCTGAAACATTTTTCTGTATCTCTAAAGCTGTAGGCCTGACAGCTCTTCCCGCGAAACCTTTTTTTGGGTCGAAAATGGCAAAAATGACGTCACTCTGACGTCATTAGCGGCCAACCTATCATAGCCTTCGGAAAAATTTTTGGTCACCATGTGCGCTAGCTGCTCCCGGGAGGGTACTGAAAGTTTGGTGACGATCGGCGCAGCGGTTCTCGAGATATATCGAAAAAACTAAAGGGGGGGCAAAAAATTGCCCCCCCCCACCGCCTGGAAGGTTAATATTAGCCTACGTGACGTGCGTTTTTACGTCCTACAACGTTTGGCCCGGTAATTCTGGGTTGAGCTACACCAGAAATCAAGGCCAAACCACTAGCAACATATGTCGACATGTATGTCAAGCGTCAACATTGCTGGACACGACCTAACACTCTGACCGACTTTGGCCTAGCATGTTGGCCAGGCAACCACTATATTTACATTCCACATACATACTGCCACACCGATATACACTGCACTGATCGTAGGTCCTTTCATGTCACGATCAAAACAACATGCGTCGAAACCGTTTCGACCGGGCGGCGGCGGCCAACGTCACAGCGCGGCGGGAGGTCCTGCGATCGAAACCTCTCAACGAGCAACTCATGCGGGTAAAATTTGGTTCCGTTCAGTGCCTAACGAGCCCACTTTTAAGCTATACCTCTCCGCCTGTTCCGGGGAATAGGTCGGGAACGTCTCTAGGAATTCCCTCAGGCAGCAGGACCTCAGAGGCTGTTCTACGCACGTGATCCGTGCGCCTGACGAACCGCCGGCCGGCGCCACTCACTTGGGGTCCGAGTCGTGCCGTATTCGCTCCACGGGCGTCTGTTGGCGGCTCGGTTTGCCTCCCATGGCTGCAGCGCGCCACCCACCCGGCCCCGTGCTCCGCCGCCAGCACACATACGCTCCAAAGTCGCACAGACACTGGCCACCGCCGCGCCGCCGCCGCCGCCGGCGCCGCGCGAATGCCTGATGGCGTCAATAGTGCCAACCACCGGCGGCGTATATCCCCCTCCCCAGCCTGCTGTGAGCCGTATCGACCCCTCGGTAGGGGGTGCACCCGCTACCCGGTGGCGGGCCCAGTGTCATCGGTCCGTACGCGCGACCGCCAGCCATGATCTATGTAGTATAACAAAATACCTTCAGACGTCAATTATATACCTTTAGACGTTTTTTTATGCGTTGGCCTTGCTTAGGTCAAGGTTGATATACAGATAATGTTTTTGGGTCAGTACATCACCTTGGTATACGCCCAAACACTCAAGTTGTCTTCCACGTTCATTTAGCGCTTAGGGTCAAATCAATCGTTTTTATTAAAAAGAAAAATGTGAGGTGGTAAATGAGGTGCCAATATTGTGCTCGCCTTAGATGCGGTTCGCTTTTTCAGCTAACGATTTGCGGCGTTACGAATCTCAGCAATTGCCTAAAAGTAAAATTGCACGGCTCAGCAGTGGAATCTACCGTGCCGGAACGTCGCGTTACGGCTCAGCACAGGTAGGTAAGCCGCTCGGCCGCCACCCGGCTCTCGCTCCCGCCATATGGATTTCGGTCGGCACACCGCAGCCGTTGCCTAGCGATGGACAGCCAAACAGAGCCGAGCGACAGGCCGGACCCCGCGGCACCCCCCCCCCTCTCCCTCCGAACCACCTGGGGCGCTTGTACCTAAAAATGTACTTACATGTTACAAACATTACTATGTACAAACAGTTGATCTATTTCAATTTTAAACCGTACCCCGTTGGAGCTCCTTGGGTCCCACGCCATGCTAGGGTGTTTGAACGCCACCCCTGACAACTCGACTCCCAAGCTAGGTAGCGACACACAATAGGCGGTGCTCGAATGACTATATTTATGAGGAAAGTACTGCTGTTATGTTTATGTCACGTCAATGGTTAGGTCACAATTAGTCATCGAAAGGAAGGATCGGATTTCCCCGATTTTGATATTTTTGTGGACAAAATGGCGCAAAACTCAAGCATTATTAGGGGTAAAACGCCACATAAAAGCTGATGAAATAGCTTATATTTACGTTTTCTGGGAAAACGTTTTTTTTTCTGGAACAACTTCTGATGCATCGCCTTTTACCATCATCGTAGTCATCTCGTCAAAACGCGTCAAATAAAATATATTTCGACCTTTAAAGTCAACTCGGTGAGGCAATAGAGTTTTGGCAAGTGTTGTAACAGCATATCAATCAATGTGATGTGGGTAGAATTTTATCATAGATACTGATGAAAAAGTTATGACTGGAAAATGTCCCTGCAAGATCATAATGTCAAATTTGTTGACATAATTCGGAAAGGTCGTTAGATGAGCCATCGATTATCGATTGCTTTCTCACGCTGTCTCAGCTGAGCTCTTTTAGTTTATGAGCTTCCCTCGTCGGATCCGTGATCGGAATTCACGAAATCGCAAAGGTTGACCTTTGTTGACCTACATTTACCTAAGTACTGACCTGAGCGACAAATAACATCTATATTTCTGAAAGCGCCCGTTTAGAGTTTCGTTTACAGTTTTCTTTGGCGTCTTTTTTACTTCTCGAAATAATTGGTCGTGGCCAAATATCCTCCCATGACGGCGAAGTTGGCTGACACCCCAGATAGCCGCGGGTTTATACGTCACAGCGGTTCAGTCCACTCTAATGTGCAGGGGACAGGCCACTCGGCCACGCTAATGGTCGTCCCGGGACGAGAATACCTTGGTTAGCGTCGATCCTCTTACGAGTTATATCCCGGTTAACAGTGCAGACCGCCCAGCCCAGGTAACGGAGAGCGACCAAGATAGGAGGAAACAGTTGGATTCCAAGAATTGAAAGACTTACTTGGGTTTAGAGGGCCCGACGCCACCTTTTTCGTACACCAGGTGCGACCGTTCCGCCAGCTGAAGTGTTTGATTTAGTTCGTCTCCAACTGGTTCTGGTGATCTTTTGATTGTAAGAACTTCACGGTGGGATGGAAGGCGATGATATTTTGACTGAAATGGAGCGCTGATCAGATTTCATAGCACGGTCACACATAGTGGCACGAGTGCGGTAACTTGCTATATTCTAACAACTATTAATCAAAATGACCGTTTTTAACTAAGCAGAGGTAAGGAGCGTTCTACAAGAAATATGAGCGATCGATTTATGTGAATTAATTATGTCACAAACTTCTAGACTTTTATTTCAAACAAGAAGACCAATTTCACTGCAACTGCCAACCGAGCTGCACAACCAACTGCAGACATGGCCTTGTGCAGACTCCAGTCGACGGGGAACGTGCATACAATTTTCATACGCCTCCTGAAGACGACTGATTTAGCCCGAGGACGACTCATTTACCAGACACGTAGGTATAAATGCAGTTGGCGTGAAAATTATCCCGAAAATAGCTAGCAAGTTGTGGATATGATTATCGATGCAAAAAACATTTTATTCTAAAAAGATATCCATTTGATCACGACAATATAATAAAATAAAGATATAATTATTTGCACAGTTCAACTACAGGCTACAATCCCTCGTTTTTTTTTTTTTAATCACGAGTCTGCAAGTGAAATAGAGCTGTAGATACGTGTGTGTTTGTATACGTCCATCATTCATACATTTATGCATTTCTTATTTTGTTAAGCATTCACGTGTTTAGTTATCTTATCAATAACCATTTGAAGTGTTTCGCTATCTAAAAAGAAGATATACAAAGTAGATATAAAAAGGTAAACATAAGAGCCGTTCGACGTACCTGCTCTTTGTTGCGCTCGGATGCTCCTCCAAAAGTTGTTCCAGTAAATTGAGTGGCATCGGTATCTATGGATAGAAAGCCACAATAAAAATAGTGAATAAACAGCAAAAAGATTAATGTCACATCAAATACATTTAATTTTACTATTTAACGATGGTACTGAGCATGTTTCCACATGATATGTCATCTCAGATAATAGGCACGAGATGACAGCCTCGGAAAGGTAAAATACCTTAAAAAGTTATGGTAGAAAAGCAAAAGGCAAATTCATGACCGAAAGGGAGTGAATGGGGATTCGACATCGCTGACTGTGGTATGCTATTGTTGAGTCGACCACCGGCTGAGGTGCCGCAGCGACCGATCCCGTCCTGTGGGACGGGATAGGGATAGGTGTGTCGCGGTGGGGCAGGCCACAAATGCGCTCTAAAGGTCCTCGGAGAGACGTGCTTCTAATGGAGTTGAACCAGTATCCTGGGCAAGGACACCGTAAAATCCCGTAAAAATAAATATGAGCAATGAACAGTGATAAGAATGGAGCGGCAACGGCTAAACACGCCCACTCCGTGTTTGAATGAGCGTGCCCCGGTAACCGGGCAGGCGCAGCCCACCCAGCCACTCGAGCAGTCACGCTCACGGAATGAGGACCGCCCGCCGACAGGGGGCGACGCCAGTGGCAGCACTGCCAACTACGCTCTCCTGTAGGTGGCGGTGGGTAACCGAGCCTTCGGTCGGACGTATCGGTGCAGTTTGGGGCTGCCCGCCAGAGCCCAATGCCCCAAAGTGAGTCCAAGACTATTTAGACGATTCGCGTAGCTTAGTGCTCAAAATATTTAGATAAGGAACATCACACAAGCAGCGCCACTGACATCGCTAGCAAAAATGTATGCAATACCTACTTCAAGAGGGATGGATACCTACATCACGCCGTCTCAGGAGTAGAACAAATAAGGAGCTCATTACCACAGGGAACCTCACCGTACGTCTGTGGGCGGTTCTCGGCATGGGGCCTCACCTCGCGCCTGTGAACGGTAGTGAGTGGTATGAACCTGTTTTACCGTGGGGCTGTGGGCGGTGTGAGCCGACATCACCGTGCCGCTGTGGACGGTATGAACCGACCTCACTGTCGCCTGTGGACGGTATGAACTATGAACTATGATTTATGAATCGAACTGACACATGTGGACGGGGGTGGCCGCCGCACAGTGTAAGCCATCCTTACCGTGTGGACGGGGTGGCCGCCGTACAATGTGAACCAGTCTCACAATGTGGACGGGGTGGCCGCCGTACAATGTGAACCATCCTTACCATGTGGACGGGGATGACCGCCGGACAGCGGCTCCAGAATCGGCCGATAGTGGCCGCCGTACAATGTGAACCCTCCTCACCGTGTGGACGGGGGTGACCGCCGGACAGCGGCTCCAGAATCGGCCGATGGTGGCCGCCGGACGATGTAAACCCTCCTTACCATGTGGACGAGGGTGGCCGCCGGACAGCGGCTCCAGAATCGGCCGGCTCGTTGGGGAGCCCTTGTACGGACGGCCCAGACTGTCGCGCGGCGGAGACGGCGTCGATGAGTAGTCCCACCCGGCCCGGTCGGCGCTGTACTTGCTGGGCAGGACGGAGAACCCTGTCGGCGAGACAACACTCAATGGGCTGCAGAAATCGCTGTATGTACCTAATGGTATATTGTCAAATCGTCAATTGCAAGTCGATTCTGTTTTCTTCCCGACAGCTCTCTGACCTAACCGTAAGCAAATGTAACGCTACTTAAAACGTCAATCAGGTTCTTCAAAATTTATCTATGGTTTGTAGAATGTGGAATGCATAGTGTCCGCCGTCCGGATTGGTACCTATAGGAGGTACTGTGCTCAGGACTTATACATACCAACTGTTCGTTATAGCTTCGCGAAGGTATAGGACGGAGTTGAGGTCTGTTATAGGAACCAAAGTTAGTGTTGGCATGTCCATTGTTGGATACGTTGCATGTTTGAATGACGTTTGTATCCACCGTCTCTAAGCATTGCCTGTTACTGCGTGCACCATGTTTATTGGAATGCTGTCATGTGTTTCCGCTATATCTGCAGGGCGCGTCCACCGGCCGTGACCTTGGTGCTCTAGTAGGGGGGGGGGAACAGCGGGTGGTGTGAGGGGGGCACTGCGATAGCTCGGACCGGCACCGATTGATCGCGGCGGGGCGTCCGTGGCCGGGTCGTGACGCCCGTACCGGCCATCAGAGACGGCTATCGCTCAGCGAGGACCACACGTCCCAAATCGCTGACCACAGGTCACCAGTCACCGGTCGCAGCACCGTCTTATCGCCCGGCGCGGTCCCACCTCCCAAATGGCTGACTACCCGTCACATCATCGTCTTATCGTTCGGTACGGGACGGCCCAGCGGTAGCCGACCGTCCCAAATGTCTGCCCCGTGCATTGATCATAACAATATCTCATAGAATGTCATGCAACGGCAAAAACATTTAACTACTGGCAAACTGCGTCCTTCGGCCCATTCACATATGACGTAACAAGGCGCCGTCAAACTCCAATGACGGTGAGCTGTCCGGGCTGACTAAATTACTGCTGGTGAGGTCGTCGCGTGACTCACCTCTGTTCGTGGAGATGTCTGCCTGCCAGAGTCGATCCAACGCGCTTCCCTGAAACAATAGGAAGAGTAAAGTTATCCGCTAGCCAGAACGTTTTGGTTGTGTTGACAGGGATGGGGTTCGTGTTCGTGTTAAATTGTTCAACCATATCGAATGAAATCATGAGTCCTGGGACATTTATCGTCAGGGGGCTTGGTGCTGCTCGTCTCGAGGAAGTGTCGGACCTTCGAGGATTGTCAGTCGAGCATGACTCGGTGTTATCGACACCTGATAACCTAGCAGACGCGTCTCATATTACCTCGCCTCAGTGACATCCCCATCACCGCCACACCCGCGTCCTGTGCCACAGCTCAGGTGACGGGCGATGGCACCTAACGAGCGACCCTATCAATCGCCGCCCGGGGCGATTGGGGTCAGACGGAGCGACCGGCGGCTTACCTGTCACGCCTGCCACTCACATCATCCCGGCTGTCCGGGGGGGGGGGGGGGCACTCCTTTGGTCGGAATTTAGGACAGAATGGCGGCATTGTATTGTAATGAATGTAACATCACAGGCCCATCCACACAATAGTGATACTCACCCGAGGCCCAGTAATGAGATTGCTAAAAGAATGGACATTGTGGTCATCAGATGTGCCTGCTGTACAACCCTCTTTACCACACGTTCATACAATATATAAGGCACGTCTCCTTACCCGACACCGTCTCGAAGAAGGCAGCGTGGCTTTATCAGCCTTGCTTTATAACAATGCGCCCTCATGGGGAAAAAGCACCTAAACCTAACTACCTAATTCCGCCAGTTACTTGCTTCACCAACAGAAGCCATCCCTAGAAACCAGACATGATAATTCTTACTACGTATGCCTCTATCTTGGGATATAAACAAAGTTACCAATTCTTGCTAAACCAATGAAGGGCTCAGAGCAATACCACCTACTCAGCCACAGACAATACCTAGATGTAGGGGAGACCCGGGAGGTATGGGCCGGTTTTGTGAAAAGGCAATTTTCTTCCAGTGGGCAGTGGCTAGACCCGGTTTTCACTCTGTGTACGTGAAATTGACTATCGCCTGCAACGTGTGCCTGATAATAGGCATTTGGGATCAACTATTTTGTCTCGAGATAACTTTCAATAAATCATGTGCTTTTTCGATCCATCAAAATACACCGGGAGGTGTGGGCCATGCCCCGGGAGGCATGGGCCGGTGCCATGTTTCATATTCTTTTCTCGACAATGAGAATAATACTCGTAGCTGGTATCTACCTTGATCTCTCTTTGAGCCCAGGAACCGCATAAGCGGCCAACAGCTTACTTCATGGAGGTCACTTGGGCCCATATGCATTTTGGTAAACTCAATCATGCACCATGAAATAAAATCAATAATATTTTTCTGTTCGAATGAAATTTGAAGTTAAATTTTCGACCTTGCGCGACAAAAATAAAACTTATTGACTGGGACATTCAATGAAAGTATCTTTTTATTTATTTAGGATCAACGGGATGGGTGGCCCGAACCTCCCGGTTAGGACCCCTGAATGTGCGTAGCATCTCAGCTCATAATCTTGCAAGAAAGCTTCAAATTGTCCATCCAGTCTTAACCCGGCAGTTGCTGGGGTATTTCGCCACCCACCGTTTGCTGGGGGGGGGGGGCGTTAAACGCCCCCAGCCGATAACTCGAGAACCAATAGGCGCAGCGAAACGCACGAGGCGGCAAACGAAAGAACGCGACGAGACGCTTCAGATGAGTACTTTAAAGTTGAATTTTGAGGTCACAGGTCGGGTCAAGGTCAGGTCAAATACCTGAAATCGGGCTTTCAGTAACATGGACTTCAGGACTTCGCAATGGGCGCCTCTCGTCACAAACTCTGTCAAAATGGTGCACAATCCATCATATAAGCATAGGTGGGCACGATCCGTTCCTCCGTTCCTCCGTTCCGGAACGCCGTTACAATTTTTAGGAACGGAGGAACGGACTCGTTACATTTTAAAAAGGGTAACGGACCAAGTAACTTCCGTTACATTGGTTTTTCGTTCCTCCGTTACAAGTTAACAGTTTAGTCCGTTCCTTCGTTCCTCCGTTACTTTTCGTTGTCCGAGCGGGTTGATCTTTCAGCTAACCCACAGACATTAATGCAGCAGCGGAATAGTGGATTATTGAGCAGCCCTGACTTGAAGACGGAAGATGGCCTCAGTGTACAGTGTACTGGCCTTCCGCAATGAGCTGGCGTTGCAGTATGTGTTCGCAAAGTTCAACACGGGCGTCCCTTCAAGCGCCTCAGTAGAGCGCATGTTCTCAATGGGAAAAGATGTGCTACGTGCAAAAAGGGCTACCCTCTCAGAAAGTGGCAGCGGAACATCTTCAATTAAGGGAGAGGGGGGGGGGGGGGGCACTGCCGACTTTTTGTCCCATTCTTTCCATGCAACGCACATAGGGCTAATGTTAAAATGCCAAAATCAAAGGGGGCACGGTGCACCGGTGCCCCCCCCCGTTCCGCCGCCTATGCTCTCAGATGCCAACCTGGAACGTCTAGTGTTCGTGAAGTGCAACCGGCATCTGGCAGGGAACAAGTGATGCGCATCAGTACCACCAGACGTTTCAAGGTTTAGTGTCCAATCAGTGCCCACTGTCTTGGTAGATTTGGTGGGCATTCCGCTTTCTCGGGGTTTAGTTTGTGTCAGAATGGTCTCAAAAATGTTTGAAATACCCAACATTTTAACGTTTTTTATTTTGCTGTAACGGAGTAACGGACTAAAAGAACTTCCGTTACATTATATACAGAGGAACGGAGGAACGAGTAACGGAAGTCACGTTTTGAGGGAACGTAGGAACGAGTAACGAAGTTACAATTTTGGGGAACGGTGCCCACCTATGCATATAAGGCCTACAAGAGTGCCAGCTCCATGTAGGGGTCAGTCAAGCATAGGTCAGGGTCAAGGTCAGGTCAACCGGGTAGGCACATATCCCCGAAAATCAAAACTGATATTCGCAGCCTGTGACACATGTTTTATGGGTAATTTGGGGCGTGGAACACGATGGTGACATTCATTTTATCATATGTGTACGTGTGTGACTCAAAAAGTTCAATTTAAGAAATGCATGTATCATGGTCGTAAAGTTGTCACGAGAAATTGCCAAGATTCAGTTCAAGATTTTGGAAAATGCGGAACGATAATCAATAATCGAAGATAGCCATTTGATTGTTCATGGTATTGGCAGTCTAATGGCGTTTACGGCATGTCTGTATGTCTATTCTGTGATTTTATATGAATTTTTGAACATATGCCGTTTTTGGTCGAAAACTCAGAAATCATGACGTCACTAAAACCTCGATATCTAAAAAATTTACCAACCGATTTTTTTGAAACTTTGTCACAATACATTTCAATCGATTCCCTACGGGTACCCAAAATTTGGCGCGCCTGCGGCGCGCCGTTTTTATGCTATGGCCCGGCAAAAAAAGTGGGGGCGTTTAACGCCCCCCCCCCAGCAACTCGCGGGTTAATTTGCATACTTTAAACTTTATGTTAGCGATGGTCTGACATCATAAAACGAGCCTGGTGCAAATTTATCACGAATTTTCTGTATGTACCGTATTTTACTCGAAGAGGGCAAAAACGGTTTATCACCGCTCATTGCCAAAGAAGACTGAGGAAGATTTTGAAAATCACGTGGGCTGTATAACGGAATGGCTGCTACCAGTTAACGCCGTCAAATGTGTAAAAATACGCAACACTCCTTCAAAACTGCGATGGCCCATACCTCCAGGGGGCCCACACATCCCGGGTCTCCCCTACTGCATATCAAGTGTAGCAGCCATCAATATCTCCCGGCAGGCGGTGGGCCTCCCAGCCACCTTCCGCGCGGTGGGGGGGGGGGCATTTTTTGCCCCCCCCCCCCGTATCTCCGAAACTACTGGACGGATCCGCAAAATTCAAACGGCGTTCGATAGCCCTGTCAAATTTGTTGAAGAACCAAATTTCATTGACCTCGGGGTCACCGATGACGTCACAGGTCAGGTCAAAGATAAAATATTTCACCGTTCACGGGGCTTCTAGGGAAAGCGCTATAACACCGAGTAAAACGCATTTTGTCGAAAATTAGCGATAAGGTGTCAGTTGTCTAGTACATATGTTGCTATTAGAGGTCACTGGTCATACCAGGTCAGGTCACAGGTCAGGTCACCAAAGGTCACCAAGGGTCACCACATGAGCCCAACTTTGCTAAGGTTATGCGATGCATGTTTTATGGCCAGTTTTTCATTTCCAACTCAATGGTGTTGGTTATAAGACCATCAGTTTAGATCACTTTCTGGTGGAGGTCAGGTCAAGGTCAGGTCAAAAAAGGTCAAATTCAAAGTTGATATTTTTGCATAAAATGGATACCGATTCGATGCAGCTCGTCACGGGGAGTCTAATGGTGGTCTTTGTTTTGCTCTACGAGGTCTAAAATTGCTAAAAATTGAGCTTGAAAATTTGACGTCATCAATTTTGAGCAGTTTTTTTCGCTATAACTTGGCCAAAAAAGAGGTATCGATCTCAAATTTGGTATGTAGATAGAAGGCGGTAGGGACTATCATATATATTCCGTTTTTTTTTTCGAAATTCAAAAAAACTTTTTGTATTTTTCGGCTATTATATTCAAAAAATCTAATTTTTGATTTTTGGGGGTCAAAATCCAAAAATTCGAAAAACCGAAATAACAGTTTTGTAGCCCTCTTGATTCCACACCTTTTATGTCTGAAACGTTTTTCTGTATCTCTAAAGCTGGAGGCCTGACAGCTCTTCCCGCGAAACCTTTTTTTTGGGTCGAAAATGGCAAAAATGACATCACTCTGACGTCATTAGCGGCCAGCCTATCATAGCCTTTGGAAAAATTTTGGTCACCATGTGCGCTAGCTGCTCCCGTGATGGTACTGAAAGTTTGGTGAGGATCGGCGCAGCGGTTCTCGAGATATATTGAAAAAACTAAAGGGGGGGGGGCAAAAAAATGCCCCCCCCACCGCCTGGAAGGATATAGGTATACCTAGCTATATTGTTACGTCCCAGCAATG